GGACAATCTTCAAGAAAGGAGACAAGTCCAACTGAGAATTACAGAGGGATTGCCTTGCTGTACACCACAGGAAAGATCACTGCATGACTCCTCCCGAACCATCACCTTCTACTTGCTAAAGAGCTCCTTCCAGAATCTCAGTGTGGGTTTAGAGCAACAAGAAGCACAACTGACATGATGTTCACTGCTCACTGACTGCAGGAAAAGTGCTGGGAACAACATAAACCTCTCTACATGGCCTTCTCTGACCTTATGAAAGACTTTGACTCTGTCAGCCAAGCAACACTGTAAAGGATCCTTCTGAAATACAGGTGGCCACCAAAATTCATCATCGTTCTTTGCCTGCTCCATGACGGTATGCAAGCAGCGGTTCTCAGCAAAAGATCTATCACAGATCCCTTTGAGGTTAAGACCAGAGTTAAACATGGCTGCATCATCACTCTAACAGTCTTCTCAATATTCCTTACCACAGTGGTACATCTGACCACCAACAAGCTTCCAGTCAAATGGATAGTAAGCTATTTAATCTCAGTTGACTCCAAGCCAAAACCAACACCACCTTACCCTCAATCATCAAGCTCCAGTATGTTGATGATGCTGTAAATCTATGCTCACTCGCAAGCAGACCTTCAGGCAATCATTGACATCTTTACCGAGGCATAAAAGAAAATGGGACTGATGCTTAATGGCTTAACATTCAGCAGACTAAGGACCTGCATCAACAAGCTCTTAATGAGCAGTCCCCAGCTCTGGTAATTCAGCTTCATAGTTAGACTCTGGAGAAGGTTGAGTATTTCCTGTACCTTGGAAGCCATTTTTCACAGAAGGCTGACATTAACGAAGAAATCCAACCTCACCTTAAAAGTGCAAGTGCAGCCTTTGGATGCCTGAAGAAACAGGTGTTTGAAGATCACAACATCATATCTGAAACCAAACTCATGGTTTATCAAGCAGTTGTGATGCCTAAGAAGCTGAGACGTGCACAAGGTACAGGAGACACCTCAAGTCACTGCAGAAGTACCATCAATGCTGCCTGCAGAAGATCCTTCAAATCCAGTGGGTAGGCAGATACACCAACATTAGCATCCTCTTGCTAGCAAATACTATGAGCATTGAGGTGATGATCATTCAACATTAACTTTGCTGGGCCAGCCATGTCATCCAGATGCCCAACTCCAGACTCCTGGAGCAAGTATTATTCTCCCAGCTCAGTTGAGGCATACACTCAAAAGGAGGGCAGAGAAAGCACTTCAAGGACGTCCTCAAGGCCAACTTGAAAAAAATGCAACATCAACTGATTGGAGACTATCGTCCAAGACCACTCCAAATGGAAGAAGAGTCTGCTGCAAGGATCATGGTACTTTGAAACCAACAACAGAGGACAGAAAAGTGGGAATGGCAAAAACAGCACATTATAGACTCTGCGTCTACTCTACAAAGGAACACACGCCCAACTTGCAAAAGAGTCTGTTGATCCTGGATTGGTCTCATCGGACCCACAGGTAAGACAATCACGGAAGACGATCATCCTCAACTGCAAGGGATTGTTGAAGATGACAACTATATAGTACAATCTTTCCTTAAAGACAGCATCATGGTCCAGTGGCTTAAGCATGAGGATGGAAGTTGGAAAAACCTTGAATTTTAGTTTTACCTCTTCACTTAAGTGCAACACTTGTTGGAAAAGAAGGGATTACTAACACTTGCATCTTCATTTTCAGATGAAGATGATACTTATGAACTAGAAAAAGCTCTTGGCACAGCAAAGTAAACAAAAATTGTAGGCTCCTGAGTTCTGTGGAAATTTCTGACATGGCTGGAGCAGTGGAGTAGAGAGATGGACCAGAGCTGGTTGTGACCTGAAATAATGCAGTCCTGGTTCCTCAAATTGTAATCCAAATTTTAACCACTTTCAGAACCATTTTTCTGCATTCTTAAAAAAGAACTGCCTGATCTCCCCTCTGCACCTTATGGACTCTGAGAGCCACTCTCCAACCATGAACCACTCCACTCCACCCATCAAAGACACCCACAACAGGACTCTATGGAGTGAATAACTTCTTCAACCTACCCCCTCTACCACTGAGGACTATTGCATGGGATTGTGTGCATTTATCTTCTTTCTCTCTCAGAATCACCACCCCCACCCCCCGCCTCCACTTCCCCCTCACTCCTCCTTACCCACAGGCTTAGTTGGCTAACAGTGCATTTCCTGTCACCTAGTTGCATTCCCCTCCTCACCCCCATCCCTCTTATGTTAGTCCCTCGCTCGGGCACTCTGTATTTCCCTTATAGCTTTGTCACTTTTGTCTCATGACTCTTAACATTTTCTAATAAAATTAAATCTGTTTTTAGCACCAAGGGGGGACGGATACACACACACACGTTCCCATCTTGCATTTTTGGTACCAGGGGAGGGTGTTACAGCTTGCTGGCCTGGTATTGCAGCTCCAGGCCCTATGCTCATTCCGCCCTGGGGGAGAAACTGCCTGTATTTAAGAGCCACACTCAAAAATGTTGCCATCAGCATGTTCGCCCAATATGGACCATGTGTTTTATAGTCATGCTCAGTGTTGGCAGCATTTAAATCAACTTCATTGTTGGTTTCCATTACTGAGTACGTGTTGCTTTTGGCAGCAGTTGAATGATAGATAATGAATTTAATGAGGTTTTTTTGTGTGCAAATTAAGACAGCTTCTTTCCCCCTATGCTGATTGGGGGGAAAATCTCGGTCTTGTATTTGGGTAAATATGGTAAGTAAATGAAACTTTCACCATCAGTAAAAACACTAAGCAGCTGGAGTTCGGCTGAAAGTGACAGACAGAGCACAGTAGTGCCATCTTGTGCCTGAGCAGAAGCACAGAACCTTCAGGGAACATTCCCTCAGCCATAAGCTGCTGCTGCATCCTAGGCTGCCTGTAGTATTGCTGGGTTGCAAACAGGCTTCTTTAGAGGTCCATGCAGAGATGGGAGGAATGGAACTGGTGAGGCAGCATGGTGCAGAATGCAATCAGGGAGGAATAGGGGTGGGGACAGCACAGTAAAACCATTGTTGCAGTTAAGCATGGTTGCCAACCCAAGATTTATTTATTTGTTTGTTTATTTTTGCTGTAAATTTTTTTACTGACAACTAAATTTTTCGTTTTTTCTTTTTATACTATGCTTGATTTAGTTAAACCCCTAAATTTGAATCCGTTCCTTCTAACTACAGCCTAGCAGCTGAAGATCAGCTGATTAGAATAGCTCCAGGGTTCAGACCTAGGGCTGCTCTGATAGGCCATTGGCCGGCAGGGACCACATCAGGGCTGGAGCAGGGATGCTGACTGGGACAACCCCTGGGTTTGAGCCGCAGGGCCATCCTGATCTCCTACTAGCTAGCACAGTCCACCCCAGTATACCAGTCCTGTTACAGTTGATGCCTCAAGAAATTAGGGGCAGGCCACATTGGTAATCACATATGTGTAGGGAAGTCCCCCCTGCTGCCACTCATGCTTTGTTAAGTTGGTAAACCCAAGACATCAACCCCCAAAACAAAGACCTACCCCTTCTATAAACATTAAGGCTCATTGCATTTTAAAAAGAGTAAGATTGGGACCGCTCTGGGGCATGCCACACATTCCAAGTTATGGCGCCTTACAAACCAGCCACAGAGATATTACTTCTAAGTAACATCCTTGTGGCTGGTTTGCAATTTTATGTCCCTATAAGTTCTATGAATGTGTGGCCAGTTGCTATTTTTGGCAAAATTACCATCTTAATCATGACAGAAACATAACATGCACCAGGGGCCTAAAGAAGCAAGCTCCATCCATTCATTCCCACTTAGTGGGCACATCTACACATGCTATTAATGCACAGCAATAAACTCTGGCGCATATTGCAGCAGAGTTTATTGCTCCCAGGCACCATGTTTGAACACGTGTCTGGGACCACAGCATATTGAGCTGGCTTAGAGAAGCACAAGCTCGCAAGGGGCTCAGGGGGTCAGCCTGCAAATCCAGGGCTGCTCCAACCCAGCTCAACAAGCTGTGGAGGGGCTGGCTGGGGTGCAAGGGTGCTCTAGTGTGGGGCTAGCTGGCAAGCAGCAGGCCCTGAAGCACCCTCGTACCCCAGCCAGCCCCATCAGTGTTTATACATGCGTTGCTGTGGAGTAGAAAGCTCTACTGCAGGATAGCACTTGTATTTACAAGTACTAACCTGCGGCGGAGTTGATTAGTTTACATTGAAGCAATCCAGGCATGGAAACAGTAAATGTAGCTACCATCTTAGCAAACCCTTCTCCCCAAGGTTTACTATGGCAGTAGAGATCATTCAAGAAACTCAAAAGAACTGCTCCTTTTGAGTTCCAAAGCAGGACATTCTTAGTGAAAGCCATTTTACTCTAGAAAATGCTTCTTCCTTGGTCCCGCACACTCAGAACATGGTTTTATATGGTTTCCCCAACAATATCATGAACTCCTAATCAAGACCACCAGTCCAGAGCCTGGCTTCACCCACACTCAAGTAACGTGAGAAGTAAAATGAGATTAACAGTCATTTAGGCTACATTTAGAGAGATTCAGAATGCTGCATTCCTCCAGTGTCCAGCTGCCAGGCACTCTATGTAACCAACTATCCCAGATCCTGAATCCCAATCTAAGTTCTGAAAATGAAACAAGACTGCCTATCTTTCCCTGCCCTGGGGTGCACTTATTTTGAAATGTGCAATATTGTTTTATTTGTCAGGGAGCATAGAACATAACATGAGAAACCATAACACATTAAGATATTGCAGACCGATTTCAAAGCTAGAGTAAAGAACTATTTACAGCTCCTTGAAATTCAATGAAGAGTGATGCATTAGGGGCCTTAAGAGCCAGCCAAGCATTAGATGGAGGACACATTTATGTGACATGTTGAAAGAGAATCTTTTAGTTCTTTCAGTCCTAGACGAGATGCACGTTTGTACACACATGCAAACAGTGAAGTCACCAGTTCTGTTTGGATGAGATGCTTCTTACCTTGGACTGGATTCTGCTTCCCCTTCTTCTGGCTGTTCCTGGATACCAAAGAGCTCTGGTGTGACAACAGCTTCTTTATTGACATTGTTCACCCAACTGTTCTTCATTTTGTCTGATTTGTTCCAACTCAGCTCACCTATAATATAAAAGAAGGCCAAGTTTGTCTCCTGTTTTTGTTCACACAAATTTCCACTAAAAACATCGGCAAACTTTTACAGTAGGCTCACAATAAGTTTTAAACACATTACGTTGAAATTGTAAGTACGCAGAGAGACACCCCAAGTAGATTAGCAGGGGTAGCTTTAAACAAGAATTCCAACACCAGCATAACATTTACTGCACTGAGCTCTAAATGTTAAAGCATTTTTTTCAGTAAAGTATCCTGAAACCAGTGAATAAAGGTTGTGATTTTGAAGTTCCTAGCACAGCTCAGAACACCTGGATTCCATATCAGTATCATCAGGAGACTAACACCCACAAGCTTTGGTCCTTGTAGAAGGAGCAGAATAATGTAAAATACTGGGTGCCCAGTAAACATGTGGCAAAGCAGTGCAACAGTCCTACTGCTCCTGTATTAATTTGGAAGGTGGTCCTGACTTGATCCCCAAGCAGGAAACAGTTAAGACCAACTGCTATGGAAGAAAAAATAAACTATGAAATATATGAAGAGCAAAAGACCAAGCAATTTATTTGAGTTGGGACAGAGAGAAATCCTATTTTACTTAAGTCGAGACACATTCCATAATGTTTTAGGAAAATCTGCATTTCTTCTGTTGCCTTCTGCAATACCTCAGAAAACAAAATACATTTCTTAGTGTGCAGAAAGAACAGTAGCAAGCCTTTTGTGTTCTCATTTTCATAGGGCATAGCTGCAAAGGAAACATATTTCATCATCTTTTGAACCACTGAAGCCAAAACAGTTCTGCATAGCATACAGGTCAGACTTCAGCCAGTTTTGAACGTCTCAGTCTGAAACCTTGCCTGTTCAAGTAATAACAAGCTTAGAAATAATTACTGCTGCTTCAGGCTGTACGATGCAGATACTATACCTAAAATACATATGCTAACCGAATTGGAAAGAATGCAAAAAGGTTTCTCCTTGCTTGTAATCCATTTGTGGTATTTCAGTTTCCTTGGGGCCTTGTCTTTTCCTCCTAAACACAACAAGCAGGCTACTACTAGCCTAAAATGATTTATGGAATCAATTTTGCGCTTAATTTGGAGCAAGTGATTAAGGAGACTGGATAACTGCAGTTCATTAGGAACAGGCAGCAACTGCATAATTGTACAAATTGCAGTGTCTCCATGGAATAAAGGGTCATTTGCTTCACTTGCACACAGAAGAGACAGAGTCTGTGATGGCCGTTAAAAGTTTTTAACTCAAACTGGCCAGAATAAAAATACCTTATTTTCATAGTTTCTCTCAAAACTAGACTATTGTATTAAAAACTTTTCATTTAGAAATAAATGACTTCCCAAAGGTCAGACACAGACATAAAAGGGTGATCATCAGAAGTCATGAGTTTTTTAAAAAGAAATAATTTCAAACCAACTCAGTTTCCTTTTGACCAGACAACTAGCTTGGCAAATAAAATGAATGTAGTGGACATGGTTCTATATAATACCTCTCAAACAAACAGGGAAAATGTGGGCTAGACAGAATTAGCACTAAACAAAGTAGATAGTTGGTTGACTATCTACAAGCAAAGGGTAAATAGTAACAGATCAGTGTCGGATTTGTAGGTCTCAAGGAGGATTCTGCATAGAGCCCATTTAAACAGTTTTAGTAATTACTTGGACGCAGGAAGAGAGAGCAGACAAATTTACAATGAGGCAAAACTAGGAGAGACTGAACATTTTGAAGGGCAGAAATCAAGTTCAAAGGGATCTTGATGAATAGGCAACCAAATAAATAAAATTCAGATGACAAATATGAAACAGTACTATGCATAGGGAAGAAAAGCTACATGCCACATAGACAATGGGGAATCGCTGATTTCACATTAGCGTCTGTCAATGCAAGAAAGGAGATAACAACACTCTTTTCTTTGCTGGTTAGGCCTCAACTAGAGCACTGTGTGCAGCTTGGGCCACCACATTTTAAGACCGACAGGGAAACTGGAGAAGACCTAGAGCCAGGCAATGATGCTGATAAAGTTTGGCATACAAACTGCCTGAGAAAGGACTGAAGAAATGTTCTTGAGAAAAGGAGACGGGGGAAAGTGGGTAGAAACTGATATCAGCTTTCTAACATTCAAAAGGCTGCCATAAAGGTGACAGAAAAAGTCCTCCCTCATCACAAAGGGCAAGCCACGAGGCAAAGGTTTAAACTACGCTAGGCAGATTAAGATCAAATGAGATCGAGATCCATTGTCCAGCTCAAGACCTCTTGAGGTCCACTCTTCATTGATGTCAAGCACTGAGCTCCAGCCAAACACTTTCAATCACCAACAAGAGCCAAACCTCAGTAGTCTCAAGCTGTCCACCAACAAAAGCAAGGGCCATCCAAAGTCAGTGGCCATTTTTGAGACCAATACCCAAGATTTCCTCAGAGGAATAGAAGGAAGCAGAGCTGAGCCTAGAATTCAGGTCTAAAGGGGACACTCAGTCCTGTGCCAAAACAGCACTTTGTCACCATCACCAGTTAATATTAATAGGAACTTTGTATTATGAGAACAAGTTCCATAAGATGTAAAAACCACTCCACTATGCCAATATTTTCCAGAAAGCACCTTCCAAGACACAAAGTGCTACAGGTCTCCCCAAGCACTCCCCAAATAAACTTACCTATTGTTGCAGGTTTTCTTCTTAATGATGCTCTAATTATGTCTGTTCCGTGTATTTTATCCTTGTGCCTCTTTGACTTGGCCTCATAAAACCACTGCCCACTCATGTTCTTCAGCTGAATATCATCATCGATTTTTTCTGGTAAATGCCTGAAAAAGGAATAAACATAATACTTCAATGATCAAAATAATAATAATTAAAAATGTCATCTATAGTAACTGTAGAGGGAAATTGCTGGTCTGATTCTGATTTTTGGCTTTGGCAGTGGTGATACTGGGGGAAGAGGGTAGAAGGAAAAAAGAACTATATATCAATAGTACTAAAAAGCTAACAGGCAATTTTCCTGCTGCTTTATCTTTTCATCCACTTATCAGTTGTGCTCCACATTCACATGTTCAGTCATTAAGTCCTGGCAAAGCCTGACCTCAGGCATGACTCAAATAAAGTTGAGTTGGGCCTTGTGTTATATTCAGCTTCTACTGACTTGACAATAGCATGCATCAACTCACAAGTCTACATGGAAACAAAAGATGCCTGAAAGCCCCCCCGTACACATAGATCCAACTTTAAACTGCATCAATTGAAAGAGTGCCATTGTCTATTCAGATGTCGGTCTTGGAGAAGCCTCTCAAACAAGTATTTCAATTGAGCATGAAGCATGGTGCCTCATGCTTACTCATACAGAACTTAAACTCAAGACTCAGATCAGTTAGTTCCTCTAATGTTGAATAGAGGCTGTGTAGAGATTTGATTCTCACATGAAACTGTTCCTACAGGAGAAAGTTTTCCACGATTTGTTAAGCCAAATGGTGATTAAAATAAGGAAGGGGAAGGGGGAAAAGGACAAATCGCTGCAGGACCCAAACTCTGCCCACAGATAAGGTGGGCTGGGTGTTCTCATACCCTTAGGAAGCTTCAGAGATCCCATCTCTTTATTCTCTGTTGAAAAGACAGCTCATGAAGACATCGACCTTTTGTCATTACAGCTTGTAGCCTGTGCAAGAGCCTCTTGACTTCACCTGGAATCTTTTTTTAAAGAGAGACCAATAAACTTATTTTCAGGGTGATATTTGCTCCTCTCATAACATGCTTCCAAGCGTAGGCACCACTAATATTTGTGCATGTCAGTGCATAGTCATGGCTAATTATTAATCTCTTTAGCTTCAATCACATCACGAAGTTAGTTTATGAATTGCAAACTTCAGCGAGACCAAGAGCTACCTGCATTTCTGGGATATGTTAGACTACAAATACATTCCCACTTCCTGGGCTGGCAATACCCAGTTACTGTTAAACTGAATTGCAGCAAAGTTACCTCAGCCCTTTGCCTTCCTAAGGCAAAGAACCTGAATTTCGAGCTATTAATTATGCCGATTCCTTAAGATGAGGCTAAGACCTCACCTTTTCTCTGCAAACAGAGTTCCCGTGATGGTCATCACACCAGTGGGGAAGTGGTCCAGGAACTCTGGCTAAAACCACTCTTCCCTATAGTGCTGCCTCCAGCATCAATGGTTTACCTGGCTGCTGCCACCATCTGTTGCAGTCAGTAGCTGCCTTTCAGCGTGCGGGGTGGAAAAGGGAGGTGTTTGGAAAGCTTCTTCTTTTGTCCACAAGTCTCAATTCATATAAAGTATGTTTCAGTAAGACTCTTGGGCAAGGACAATCCCACAAAAACCTCATTTCCAGAGGCTGGAATGGAAAGGGCAGAACAGCATGACAGAGGGAGCCTTGCTGCTCTCTGGTACAAGAGCTACAGAGTCCTTGGGAACTGCCTGGCCCATGAGCTGCCTGCACCAGCCATGCACCAAAATAACTTAGCTTAAAAAAAAAATCTGTTCCCAATCCATTGTGCCTCATCTGCCAGCAGTTATGTGATAACTTTGGCACATGCAAGCAGTCACAAGGGAACAATGTCAATTTGGGTAAATGGTAATCCAAGTTTAGGGGTTTAAATCTTGTGTTTGTACTGACCACGAGTTGGAAGCGTTTTAAAAAACATCCTGCCCTGGCAGGATCATTCTTAATAATTTAGTTATGCCTCTAAGGTCACCCTGATTTTATGAATGGTTCTTTATAGAACAGAAAAGAAAGCTCCTGCGAGCATTTTTGGAGGTCTGTTTTTCTCTTCAGTGCATTTAAGTTGCTGTAATTTACTCGTATATAACTGCCAGAGTAGCCTGGACACAAGCATGAAAGGGAGTCAAAGAGATATACCTGAGATATTTAAACATATACAGGGCTGAACTAGATTCAACCTGCCTGGTGCTAAATCACCCTTTATCTACTCCGCCCAGTGACACATCCTTCAGCAAGTAAGCTAATAAAATGGGCTAAGAGAAAATAAGCTCTTTCTATAACAGAGGTGCAAACCACAGGACATACAGCCATCATGCCTAAGAGGGCCTCTCCTATAGCTGTGGGCTAAGCTAATCAAACTCCAGCTTTAGGTCGCTGATGACAAGCTTGAGACAAGCAACACCCCTCAGTCAATAATGGAACATACAGAGAGCAGCAGCTATGGTCAAGGTCCTTGTATTAAGAAAGGATCAATGCACTTGTAGCTTCTGATGCAATAAGGATTGAAAACTTGCTACCATTGTTCTTGGTGTTGCATCCTTCAGATCTCTGGAAGCAACACTGTCAGCAAATCCTAACCCTTCACTCTCAGAAAGGTCTTTCCCCCTTCCTTCTTTCTTTTCTTGAGCCTTAAGTCTCAACCAGCTGGTGTTACATGACAAATGGCAGCACTAGGCACCAGCGAATTGCACAGAGGCCCATTGGCAGGACAAGAGAGCAGTGGCAAGTGCTTACAGCTGCTTCTGTAATACAATTTAAGGGTGGCAATACACGTGCTCTAGGGTGCATGGGGAGGGGGGGGAGCTGCTCTCAGGAGCTGCTCCAATTTGAACACCCACAGCATCTTGTGTATTCGTTGTCCCACATTTCAAAATGGCAGCAGGGGCATTTCAAAGCTCATTCAATGAGCTTTAGACGCTGCAGCATTCCCATTATCATGCTCCAGCAGACTGGATTAATCAAATCTGCTCCTTCTAATCAGAACACATCGGATCAGGTGTATAATGGGCACCCTAAGAGTCATCCCCTTGAGAGGCAGCAGTGTTATAGTCACCAGTTTGCTGTGAAGTCATTCCTGATAGGGACTGTGGCAGAGCCCAGAGTTGTTGGCAGGCACACCACAGTGCCTCCCACCCAACAGCCTTCCAGCCATTTGGTTTGCGACATGCTCCTTCCAATTGCCCCCTAAACGGAGGAAAGGAGCAACTGGATACTCACCCCAAGGGGTTTGGCCCTTCCCCTCTACTCCAGCAATCATCTGCTTATCTACCCCTGCTTAGCCAATTCATAACACAGCCACAAGTGCAGATATAAGGAGAGATGATTAATATAGCACACAAGGGTTTTTACACAGCTGCCTGTTGTCCTCGCTCCCTCCATGTGTCATACCAGAATGTGTTCTCCTCAGGGCTACTTCACTTGTATTGTACAGCACCCAGCATGGTGGGGCTCCCGGGCACTACTGCAACAAGCACATCCCGAGGTTCCCAAGCAGGAAGCACTGACTCACGTAGCCAGCGTTCCTCAGCTGAGTCTGCTCAACGCAGTTCCTTTTGCCTCAGGCACTGCTAGCCCTTTCCCACTGTGCTCGCTGCTGAAACCAAGGGGCATGGGGAAAACCGCTCCGCAGGCCAGTCCTGTGTTGTGCTGAATCACCAGTGCCAGCTCTTGGTCTGCACCCCAGTGGAACCCAGGCCTCTTGGCTAGATCTGGCTGCTACATCCCCTATCTAGCACTAACCAAATTATGTCACATTAGACTATTTTTGCAGCACCAGATGCAACACTGTACAGACACACAAAGTAGGTGTGGCTGCCCCAGGCAAAGCCTCCAAATGCACTGACCCAGCTCCTTCTTAATAGGTCACAAAATAGGCCTTTAATTCTTTCCCCTGCATTGACTGGAGCTCTTTATGACTCTCATGCTTAGGAACTATTGCTGTTGACCTCTGTTCGACTTTCTGGTCTGACTGTTTGACTTCTGTTCCCCCAGCCTGCCTCTTTCTCTTGGTAACAGCAGAGCATTCAGCACCCTTGGTCCGTGCTTTTCTGGGCAGCGGAAACAAAGCAAGAAAGAACTGAGAAGAAGCCCTGTGCTCAACTCGGCAGCAGACCTCCCTTCTTAGTGAAGCATTCATAGGAACCCTGGTCCAAAGGCCTCCTTCCAGTTTCCCTTCAGGTCTTACCTATGGTTCCTAGGAAAAGTTCTGGATGTTCCTCATTAGCAGGTACCCCACTGTCGTAACAAACACACCTAAGCAGCTGCTGCAGTCATGGCTGTAAATCCATGCAATGCTACACAAAGAAGGGCTCGAGAAGGGCTACCACTAGCATCAGCACAAAAAAAAATCAAACTGATCAAACCAAAGCAGCATTAGTTACGTTTCCTGCTAGCAATATATACACCAAGTACATGGTTTCACTGGAAAGGGACAAAATTAGCAACCTGCTCATCATCAGATCTGCCAACTCAAGCCTTAAAACAGTTTCTATTGCTGTTTACATAGGTGACTGGCAGGGGGTGCACATGTCCCCCGACAGGGCCGGTCCCCACACTGACAGCCAACACTGATGCCCCCCTGACAGGGTCAGTGGTTTCTGCGGGTGCCCCCCAGATTCAGGAGGCACCAGTCGCTCATGGTTGTTTAGGTCTACTAGCATTGCTAAACAGCAATGTCATGCCAGGAGTAGCAGCTGTGTTCTGGTCTGGCTCACCCAGTAATAGGACCATGGACCACTTCCCAGGAGCCTAAGGTGCTGACACTTCTTGACACGAGCATCACCATGCAGCTTGACTGAGATTCCAGGCAGCTTGCCAAGCTGGCAGGCAGAAAAGTCACCGCAGCCACAGCTTCACATATTAGCTGCACAGTTTTACTTTACAGTCCCTGAACAACTAGTAATGTATTGGCTGCCCCATCACATACTTTTTAGGGCAATTTTACTCTGAAAATTGACTATAGAAAGCTTGTGCTTAGCTGCCTCTTCCTACAGCAGTGTTTAGCTAAAAAATGTGAGGGTACAGAATTATAGGAGAGCATTATAAAGCAGATTAAAAGTCTGCATGTGAAGAG